ACGCTTCACGTATTCCGGTTCTAAACCGGACGAAATGAGCTACTCTTTTATGTAAATGAATCGCAATATGTTATTCATGCGACGTTTCCTTAAGCTGTTAGTAAAACTGGTATTGATACTAGAAGCAAACTGTAGTTTTACTTTTCTTGAGAAGAGCATAGTATCCGGAAAACTATGAGCATCTGAGAAAAAAAGGCTATCTCTATGTGAAAGGGCAGTTCGATCAGCAAAAATAATTGTTATGGGCTGTATCCTTCTGCCCAATTTATTATTATCACAACAAAAATGCTTAAATTTTCTCCAATTATCATGCAGTATTACAGTATCTCACAGTAGTTATCTTTTAACTACTCAAATGTCCAATAGAACGTAATTCAAAACAGCTAAAGAACGCTAATCCGCGAATTCGCTACAATCAACAAGAGCAGTTTTCTAAACAACAACAAACTAAGCAAACTACTACGAACTGAGATGTTTTCCTCCTTTTATAAGATTTTAAAAATCACGCGCTAGAATTTTCCAGTACTTTCTCGAAATCAAAAAAGAGAGATTTATTTATTTATTTAATGCACGCGCTCTTGTATTTTTCAATTTTCCGGCTTAGCTTTCTTCTTTAATATTCGTCACGCGCTGCACTGCGCGAGAAATAAAACCATTTAATTTATAATTGAACTAACATTAGCTTTTTAAATACCAAATTCGTAACAATAAGTTAACCATTCAAAGTAATACCTTTCTTTTATCTTTTGATGCGTACATATCTGCGATAGAATAACTCAATATTATTTTCATATTATTTTTATTATTTTATGATTTGTTTTACTTTCTTATTATTACTCACTTTTTTTTAATTATGGTTAAAGTTTATTTACTGCTTACCTGTGTATCATTTACTGAAACTTAATTTATTAATATTATTATTTCTTTACTTTTATTGCATTTTTTATTCATTATTTATTGTTAGTTTCTTTCTGTTCGTTTTTTTTTTTATTTCTTTTTTTCGTTTTTTTTTTTGGGGGGGGGGTTGATTTTGTTCATTCTTCGCGGCAGGTTTGCTTGAATTCTAATTATTTTCTAAATACTTCTAACTTTGGAAATTAAGTTCAGATTTCAAATAATCTTAGTACTCGCAGTAAGAGTTAATTTTATAATACCTCATTTGGGCTAATTATGGACAAGACAGAAATTACCTTGTTGACAGTCGAAAGTCTGGATTTAAATTCCGTTATATTTGATTTAATTTGTTATTAATTTTATTTGAATTATTTTAATTTGTTCTCCCTTTATGAAGGCTTTCTACAGGGCTCCAGCATTTTTAATTTTAGAAATTAAGTCCTGGATGTAATGATGAATAAGTTGGATAGAACAGCATGAGTGTTTCCATAGGTTTTTATCTACATTATAATTCTTTTTCAGTAGTACAACCCTAGTTGATTGATTGATTTAGGTAACGCGTGTGAGGATTATTTGATGGTTTGGTTTGGTCTATTTAATTACGGCAAAGCACACGAGGGCTATCGGCCTAAGGGAAGGATTGCCTTCGTGGAGGACTTTCTAAGAGAGGATTATTTGATTTCGGAGATAATTTTCAAAGAAAAATTAGCTTATAATTACATATGAGGAAAACTTCATATAACCGGCCTTTTTACCGGGAATCAAATTTTGAGCAAAAATAGGTCTCCGTGTTCAATTGCCAGTCTCGTAAAAGTAAAGATTAATAAATAAATAAATAAATAAAAATTACGTCCAATTACGTTTTAAATTACGTCCGAAAGAGCGTTTTTTTTTTAACATTGTGTCTGTTACCTTAATTTATTAAATATCACGCTCTTCGCACTTAAGGGCTCACCAGCGGCCGAGCGGTAAAGTCGCTGAACACTGGTAGTTCGGTCCGAGGTTCAAATCCCGCGAACGGGCTGGCTGCATGGGCGTTTTCGTGATTTTCCCCATGTGTAACGTGTATACGAGCCAGTTTCCCTTAGAAAGTCCTCCACGAAAGGCATCCCTCCCCTTAGGCAGATAGCCCTAGTGTGCTTTGCCATAATTAAATACACCATCTTCGCACTTAAACCATAAAATTCACTTCAAAAGCAATATCGCAAAATAGTTTTAGATTGAGCATATCTTTAGAAGTCGATACAGAGTTTCGCGCGGAGATAAAAATGTTTTCTCTGTACAACGTGACATTGCTCTCTTGAAATCTTGAGTTTGTAATCAAAATTCGTTAAAGTTTTACAAAATATGAAATCGATAATAAAACAAATTCCAATTTGGATTTCACATGCCCATTCAGTAAGGTTAGTCCATTCAAAATTGGATGGCTCTATGTACCGTTGTTTTATCACGATGCGGGAAATATGCATACATTTATGCAGATTTTTCATTATTTAATATGTCCATATATAATGCAGGACTCTAACGTTTGGTGGCAACAGTTTGTAAAGTGAAACGAGCATTTATAGTAAACCAACGCAAAATCGCAAAACGAAAACAATAGTCCTTTAAGGACAAAGTCCCTTTGGACTAATAAAAATTGAAAAGTTCAGGAAAAAGAGTAAATACGAATTCTGTGGAGAAAACACTTATCTGAATGTTTTGAAAAAGTTTGTTCGAGGAAAAACATTTTTTAAAAAATAAATAAATAAGTAGGAAAATTAAACAAAGGAAATTAAGTATTCATTATCGGTGTAAAAAATACACGCAAAAATACTATGCTATTGTAGAATTCCTCACTTAGGAATTCTAAGTTAATGTTGGAAGTGAAGAATCTAAGAACTGATAGCGAATAATCGCTAGAGTTCGGTGACAAGAACAACAATAGAGGGTAACTAACCCCTTATTATTTTAAAAGATTTAACAAACTCCGCCTGGAGTGTAAGCAAAACCGCACTTGGGCTGAACTTAAAAGACTAAGAGAATTAAACTAAACTAAGATTCACTAAAGAAGTATAGCCGAAGCTATAAGGCAAATGGAGTTGACCCTTAACTTATTTGACTACGAAGCTTAGCACGGCTCGAGTCGCCGAGCGTAAAACAGCTTTGAGAGAGAGAGTGGCCAAAAAGGAAACGCGCGTAAACAGAACTCTGATCTCTTCTGATGAGTATCCGTATCGTTATCCTGTTCCTATCGACTGGATACAGTCTAAAAAGGACTTACCAGCACTGCTACCATTTTAGGGAACCTAATTTGATATAACCTCCGGAAACACTACTTTTCCAATGGAGCAAGAAAGCACCTCCTAAGTGGCTAATACTGGAAAGCAATCGGCAAAAGGCCAAGGCCACATTCCTGGCATGGCATAATTAGCGATGCATAATTTGAAAGCATTTTTGAATTTCTTGAAATAAATTCATAGTAGTGAATAGCATAAGAGAAGAACTGAATTAAGACAACCGCTCTCATTAAATAATCGCAGATTCCAAAACTACGTTCTGGCCGGAAGTATTAATTTTGAAGTTAAGAAGTGCAGGAAGGAACTTTAACTTAAAATTTAACTGTTAATAAAATTAACATAATCTTACACTATACATTTTAAAAACTTCATAAACAAAGTTTGGTGCATGTCATGCGTGTCTGACGGACAATAAACAGATTTCAGCTTACCGAGAATGAAATGTGAAAAAAATATCTGTAACATCATTCGAGAAATTTTGAATATGAGATAAATAAATTCGATTTACAGAGAAAAGTAATCATAAATTTAAAAAAAAAGTTTCCAGGGAGGTATCCATTGTTATTTATCGAGCGTCTCCAAAGTCTTGTATAATTGGCTAACTTTATAAGTTTGCATCACATGGAGTCGAGGCAGCATAGAATCGACAACATCATTATCGGTGTACTATTGGAGAGGGGGAGGAATTCATGTAAGTAAGAATAAAAGGATTGAGTAAAAAGATTAATACATATTTATCAGAGCTTCACAAAGTTGTTCCAGGCATAAGACAGACAGGGAGATTGTAACAGGGACAGAGAGATCTGAATTTTCGATTGATTCTAGCTGGAGCGTATCGAAACCTTAAGGGAAGCTCCATGTTCTTTTTTTGTACAACTGTAACACAGTATATTATTAATACATCATTTTCTCTAGCTCTTAATAAAATTGCTGTGATACTAGATACTGAATGTATGTTTTACTTTCTATGGAAAGAGCAACATACGTGGGAAAACTTTTGCAGCGAAAAAAGAAACCCCATATCGAAATGTAATCCAATCAGGAAGAAGAATTTTTATGGGTTATACTCATTTAGTCGAGAGGCTTTAAATGGATAAGACAGCATAATAATAATGCAGATTTTTCTGATTACGAAGATTGTTTGAAATACTTACTATTCTTTTACCTTTGATATCATGTTTTGTAATTATTAATTTATTTCCCGTTCAATTGTTTTATTTTTCTGATACTTTATTTCTAATTTAATATTAATTTACTCATTTTGTGTTCTTTTACTTCATGTAATTATTATTATACTTTAATTTATCTTTATAATTGATTTACTTTTATTTATTTCCTTACATTTAATTTTAATTATTCATTGTTTATGTAATATTATTTTATTTATTTATTTTTGTTAACCGTTGCTGATAGCCTTCTACACGGCTTCTCTTCTAATTTTAGAAGTTTTGTGCTGGTGTTCTATCGACACCAGCATACTATCCGTGCGGTACAGGTTTGGTGCTACATCAAATCGGCACCGCCGTCCCCCAGACCTTAGCATATCATAAGTAAATAATAATCATAACAGAAAATATTTTAATTCCCCTTCCTAGATTATCTGTATAAAATCGACACCGTCATCAGATCAAGACCGGCTTTTGAACTGCCATGTAGATCGTGTGATGATCTTGTGATTCTCAACTAATCGATGTTCTGTTGTCTCACCCCATTGCTCAGTGCTCTCATCCTCATCTCGCACACTTCAACGCTAGGATTTCTGTCTTATGTTGTGTAAAATGTCGTGTTTTGATGCAATTTTTTTTCTTTTTTTCGTTTCAGAACGTACTTTAGAGAAGGAACCGAGTCTAAGTTTCATGCGAATAGGCTCCTTGAATCTCAGAAAATCACGGAAATCCACAGTTTTTGCCAGTGTTAGAGGAAGTGCAAGGAACTTTGGTTCTACATCCGAAATGGTCAGTTTATTAAATTACTTCTTTTATGATTATCCGCTCAAGTAAACCTTAAGTATTCGCTTTCAAAATAAAAACAAAGTAAAACCTTCGCTGAATACAACAACTCTTAATGTGGTTCTACAGAGGCTGTTCACACATTTTTTAGACGACGTATATTGTATTCACAAAACTAAATTACATAAAATTCTTGTGTTTTAAATGTTCTATTTGACATCCCTTATTCTGAACTATCTTTCGACACCGCAATTTCCAAGATAATATAATAATGCCTTTTGAAGTGGCAGAAGAGGTATTGTATCCCATTCCTCCCGAACAGCTTTCTAGAGTCCTGTTAGGGTTTTGGGACAACGTTTGGATAATGCAGTTTTTAAAAGTCCGAAAGCACAAAAATCCATAGGTGACACATCGGGAGATTTAGTAGGGATATCAGTGAAGGGTATGGCCTTAATACCAGTTTTTTGTTCCGTTTCTTTTAGGAAATTTACAGTAGATTTTGATGTGTGACTCCTAGCTTTGTTCTGATGGAGTCTCACAGATGGATGGCACTGTGGGTAAAGCGATGGTACTTCATTCGGAAAAATTGGCGATAAAATATGTTCCTGATAGTATTTGGAGTTAATCTTGACATTTTTTTGCACTCTCTTTATTTTTAACTTGCCATTATAAGAAAAACCAGCAACAATCATGAATCCCTTAGAAAAACTTTCTTTCGATTCTTTGAACCATGTACGTAAATTTTTTTCTCCCCTTTTATGATAATAAATGGCTCTTTTTTTTTTTTTTTGTTACAATCATTTAAATACACCCATGCTTCATCTATTGTGATAATTGTTTTCCATTTTTCTTTGGATAAGTGTTTCTCATATAGAATTCTGCAGCGTGTCCTGCGTTGAGCGATATGCTCTGGAAGAAGACGATGCACATTGCGTTTTTTAAAGATTTAAATCAACGTTTATCATTTTGTTTACAGTGGACACCGAGCATTTTAATGATTTTGCAACTGTTCTTTGACTAGGGAGGATTTTCTATTAACATTAAACAACGTACCTTTGAACCTTGTGACGAAGATGACCGTTTCTTCCTTGGATACTTGTTTGGAATTTTTGTCCCACTTGAGACTCCAATTTGACGTTTTTTTCCTTTCTTGTTGATGATATTACCTATCGACGCTTTAGATATCACAAAACCATGACTCTCATATCGTGTTTTTGGATAACGGAGTAGTGTATGCATATTTCTCTTCGAAAGAGCGTAAATGTAGCCTTCGAATCACTGCTTTGTTAAATTCGCCATTTTGAATAAAAACAAAACTTTCAAGCCCCAGACGATAATTTTGACTTTTAAAAACATAGTACAATTGCAATTACTTCTTTTGCAGCAAACGATTTTTTATTAGCGCTTACCAAAATCGTCTAAAAAATGTGCGAACTGCCTCTGTATCTAACTCATACGCGTTTTTTGGTTCTTTTAACACCTCCAAGGAAACCTCTTCGAGGTGTTTAATGTTAACAATTTACGGATTTTGGGGCCTGTTTCAACATTTTGTTAAATTTCCGAAATTTTAAAGGTAAACTTGTTATATGTATCTTAAGCTTTGTAAAGCGATTGTACCTCTATGTAATTTAATACACTTAACTATAATAATATATAGTACCACATCCCATCACATATCTATTATAGCTAATGAGCTTTTGTCTGAAACTCAAATGTTTTCATACTTGGTTTAGCACTACTGTTGTCTAAATTTACAGCAGGTTTACGACTACTAATTTTCTTTTCTGTGCTGCAGAAGAGGGACTTATATAAAGCTGCCCTCGAAACTGGTACAGTTTTATTTCAAATGCATATCAGCATAACATTGCTTTTTTTTTTTTTTTTTTTTTTTTTTTTTGCTTAATTTTAAATTTCTTTTTTCTTCTAATTCGATAGTACCAAACTGTTAATTTTTCTGTATTATTGTAGTGTATGATACTTGCTCTAGTTGTAGGAACATTAGGTATATTTTTGGAAGCAGGCAAGATGGAACATAAGCAAACGCCTTCGCCGGGAATCGAACCACGGACCTCTGGAATACCGGCCCAGCGTGCAGAACCACTATACCATGAAGGCACGCTAGGAAGGCGGGAGAAATACCTTATATACTCTCTCTTTTAAAGGGCGACTTTTAGGGGACCTAATCGCCAAATCGTGGGTGGGGAGAAATCTTCATCCACCACCCTTTTAGTTCGGGCGCCACTGTAGAGACATTGGGTATATTTTTGGAAGCAGGCAAGATGAAAAATTAGCAAATGCTTTCGCGGAAGGCGGGAGAAATACCTTATTCAGTTATACCATAATTAACGTCGGTTAATCTGGGACACTTAACACACATAAGTGTCATAAAAAAAATCAAATAATATCTGGTCTAAGTTTTACTGAAACCACTTAACACACTATCGACGATTCAGTTCTGTGAAAAGCTAAATTTTCAGATTTTTTTGAATGAAGCGTTTTATATTTAATGTATATATGCTAATTCTTCAAATAAGTTTCCCTTCCTTTAACTTAGATAGCTGATGTAAACACCACATGACTTCCTTCTACGGCCTATTAAATTATACACATTTTTCTCCGTATTTGATTTAAACGTATTTCCTCGAATTTCATTAGAGATATATTTCTCATTGAATAAGTTCAGTTCTCACTTTAAGGCAAGACAAAAATACATAAAAATTCAAAACATCTTCACTAAAAATTGTAAAATACAGAAAAACATAAATTATCAAATACAATTAAAAACAGTAAAAAAATAATTACGATTAAAATTAGAGTTTCTATGCCAAAACAAGAACAAGCAATCCGGTCAACGGGCAAGAAGACACAATTTTCGGTGCACAAATTTAAATTTACCTTTCGGTCTCACAGGGCAAAAAGACACTGAAGTTGATGCACCATCTGACTTAATTCATTATTCTACTAATAGTGTCAAATGTTAACAAATGGTGGCCCCATTAGGCCTAACGCATTGTTGATAATTCTGTAGTTATTGCATGCACATTAAATAAAGCAAAAATTGTACAGTTTACCAGCATATAAGATTAAATAAAGGAGGTCATCGAGATGGGTTGGGTTTATATATATATATATGCAAGGTGTTACAGCAAATCGAGTTACAAACTTTCAGGACAGGTAGTATAACACCTGGACGGTGCAAAAACACATAGCAATGCTTGGTTGGAAACGCTTTCCTGGTGCGGTGGTGAAAAGACAAAACACAAGAAAGGAAGAACACAAACAAGGTGAGAATATATGTTTGTTATGCTTAGTGCAGCTGAAACCAAGAAATAAGAGATCGTCATCAAAGAAGCTGTTTTAATTTACGTTCGAAACGTATCCTCAGCATGGGATCGGTCGTCCGGTGCATTGGCCAGCAAAATCTCCAGACCTCACTTGCATTGACTATTTCCTCTGGAGGGGGGTGGTACATCAAGACATTTTTGTACGAAACCCTCGTTAGAAGTGCTGAGGAACTTGTTCACGCATCGTGAGGCTGCGGAAGTCCGGGACATGCCCGGTATTTTCTAGAATATCATCTTCCATATGCCGAAGATGTGAGACCTACATCAGGGTCTGGGGTCGTAATTTCGAACACATTTAATGACGATCGCTGTCTGTTTTTGTTTTTATTTCTTGATTTTTGCTGTACTAAGCATAATAAACGTTTCCTCACCCTGTTCAAGTTCTTTCGTTCTTGTGTTGTCACTACCATGGCAGGAACGCCTTTTCGACCATGTATCGCCATGTGATTTTCCATCGTCTAGGTGTAATCTTTCTCTTCTGAAAATTTGTAACCGATTTGCTGAAACACCCTGTATTTATACACCCTGTATTCATGCAGCTGATTACAACAAAAAGGGAGGTGCACAACTAAATGTAATAGCAGTCCCATATAAAAAATTTCAACAGTTCTACGGCTAAGCATTTTTGAGCTTTGCGATATACATGCGTACATACAGAAAAATCCCTTGTGAATCCATTTTAAATCCATTTTACAATTCGTTTTGGAAAAAATAGCCCTTTGCTCTATGCATATGTACAGACGTCAAGAAAAGAAAAAAAAAAAAAAGGGAGAGAGGCTGGATCTAAATGGATTCGAGAGCGGTCAAGTGAATATTTTCTTTGAAATATGATACCTGAAATTTTTCATGATTACAATACTTCCTTTAAGTCGTACAAGGAAGCAATAAACATGCTAAAAAAATTAAAGCTCTGTGTGCATGTGACACTAGTCCCAAGAACATTATTTGCAAGAATTATGATTCTAAAATGGGCAAAACATGGAATAGCGAAAAATTGTTAAGAATGCATACGATTACACTTCTAATATCAATTAAGAAATATACAAGCACCAAACTATGGACAGTAAAAAACAGTAACCCAAACTGATATAAATTGTTATTCATGTGAAAAACACACTATCAAAGTTTGAATAGCTGGTCAATATACTTTGAATTGAGAATTAAATACCTTTTAAAAAGAAATAAAAACTCATCAATTAAATAAATAAATAAAATAAAAACAAGATTTATAGCAATAACACTGAGTTTCAAAACGTAAAAAAATCTGATGTGTACACCACATGACTTCCTTGTACGGAATATTAAATTATACACATTTTTTCTTGCATTTCATTTAAACGTATTGGATCTACTTCGCCGACAGCGCATAAACCACAATAGAATAAATGCATTCTTTAAAATTCACTCTAGTATTTGTTTACCATAGCGACACTCTGGCGCTAGATTCACTTAACAGTATTATATTTCGTTCATATTATAACTCATAATGCACAAAATTTATATCATTTAAAGAATAGAATTATCTAATCGTTTGCCACATGTTCTATTCAAATACTATAATAAAGCTGAACGATGTATAAAAGAAATTAAACAAACAAAACAAAAAAGAAACAGTTTTTCACAGACGATTGAATATTTCTCATTGAATTAATTCAGTTCTCACTTCGCGAGAAGGCAAAAACACATAAAAACTCAAAATATCTATATTAAAAATTACGAAGTAAATCTTAAGCACTCATTTCCTCGAAAAAATTCCAGAAAGGATTAAGCATGATTTAATTGACAATAATAAATGAAGGCGTTATCTTCGTTGTTGCGAAACTACGTTTCTCTAGATTGGCAACAAATCCACTAGTCTGTAGTTTCAAATGTAAACAAACAATGGCCGCCATCAAGAAAAGGATTAGGCTTAGCGACACTTAAACAACTTTAAAATTGTTGATAATTCTTAAAATATTGCATAGAGATTTACTAAAGGCATAAAAGCCCTAACCGGAAGATAAAAACAACACAATTCAATCGTTTTTAAAGCAAAAAATGTACAATTTACAAACAATAAGAGTAAAGAAACTGAGATCACTGAGCCGGTAACAGAGTGGATATATATATATAAATATATTTATATACTTTGGTGCCGGCCAATTGCAACCAAAATACGAGGTGCACATCTACATGTTTATAGCAGTCCTGTATACAAAATTTCAAGCGTTCTGAGGCTACTCGTTTTTGAGTTATGCGAGATACGTACGTACATACGTTCGTACAAGACGCCACGAAAAATTCTCTTCAGAATATTTTTTAAAAGCATTTTTTATAATTTTTTTTTTTTGGAGGAAAAGAGTCCTTTTATTCTGTCCTGTCCTTACGTACAGATATATCACGCAAAAACATCGTTAAATTGCATTCGATAGCAGTCAAAACGGATATTTTTGTTGAAATATGCTGCCTGAAACTTTTCACGATTACAATACTTCCTTTTTACTTCGTACAAGGAAGTAATAAACCTACAAAAAGTCAAGAGAAATATGAAAGAAACCTGAAAAGTTAATTACTGCTAGAACATTTAAGAATGAAACACAGACCAAGCTGTATACTGTATATTCATTCAGTATATGTATATGTAATCTGTATATGTAAAAAATTCCATATATACATGTAAGCAGTAAATATGTATACAGTATATGTACACGGTTGTATGTATAGATCATATGTATACAGCATATATAAAAAATTCCCTTATAATCCTGTTTAGAAACCCACTGAAATCTACTAAAGTGTTATAATGTATTTTGAATGGATACGATCTGGTGGGCAGAAAACTGTAATTATATGTTTATCGCAGTTATGAAAAATGTGTGATGTTAAACTTTTATGTGTTTCCTTTCAGAAGTTTGGTAACCGTGTCTCTACAAGGAAGAAAAGTCATAAGAATGTAGTTTTTGAAAAGAAAAAGTAAGTTTTATATCTTTTTTATTTCTAGTTAACTTCACAAATAAAAGCTGTGCAAAATGCTATTATGGTAAAATATATTATATATATATAAATATCATATGATGCATTTAAAATTTGCATGTGTCAGAAATCGCTTGCAGTTTATTCAAGAGTGGTTACAACTTTCATTAACATCTACAACAAGTTATAATTTCATTTCCATTTATCAAAGTAAATTTGTTTTTAATGGATGAAGATATTTTGTTTTCCGATTTTTTTTATAAGTGCTTATGTAGTGAGCAAAGAATATGCATTAAATTTTGATTTTGCAATGGAATTTCTATTAAAAACATTTGAAATGATCCAAAAAATATATCTGAGGGCAACATTTTATTAAGTAATTTTTTGAGTTTTAAAATAAGGTGTATAAGCTGAGCAGAGTGGAATGGTACAAGAATTTAAGCATTTTTCGATAATGCATCGAAGATGAACTATGATCTGGTGGAACATACACTTCAGTCAATGAGCGATACAATGATCTAATTAAATATTTGGTTAAACAATTTTGAAACATCATTTGGGCTTGAGGTGCGATGTTTTCCGAGCTGTTCAAAAAACATTCAATTATTTTTAAATGAACGTTTTGAAGGACTGAGAAAATGCGTTCTCAAAGTCAGTTCTTTTAAAAATGCATTATTACCGGTGATAGACACGAATGTACTATTCTCATACAGAAATAATTCAAATAATTGCAACCGAAAATACAACATGAAAAACAGTCAAAAATCAAGGAGAAAAAAAGAATCTAAAAGGTTTCAGATTTTAAATTACGTCCAAAGGGGCATTTTGTTAACGTTTTGTGTGTTACCTTTACTTATTAAACATCATTTTCTTTGCACTTAAACCATAAAATTGAGTTCAACAATATCACAAAAGAATTTTAAAATGAGCATATCTTTAGAATTTCCAATACACAGTTCCGTGCGCTGGAGATAAGAAGGTTTCCCCCCCCCCCCCCCCGTAGAGTGTTGCCATTGCACGCTTTTAAATCATTGAGTTTGTTAATCAAAAATTCGTTAAAGTTTTACAAAATATGAAATTGATAATAAAACAAATTCCAAATTTCAAATTTGGGCTTTCAGATGCCCATATTCGCAGTAGGATTACGTCATTCAAAATTGGATGACTCTAGGTACTCACAATGCGATGTGTTTTATCACAATGCGAGAAACATACATACATCTATGCAGATTCTTCATTATTTAATTTCTTCAAATATAATACAAGGCGCTAGTTTTTGGTGGCAACGATTTGAAAAGTGATACAGCCTATAAAATTTTCACCGCAAAATCGCAAAATGGAAACAATAGTCCTTCAGGGACAAAGTTCCTTTAGACTGTTTTCTTTGATTTTTGTGGAGTTGTGAAATCTTGCATTTCTGCTAAGTGGCCAAACTGTGGTCGAAGTATATTTTTTAAGCAGTCTGTGGGGTTTGTGTGGTGTAATCTATAGAAAAGTACTTGCATTGTGGCGAGATAACTTATGGAATTGTAAAGCCGCTGAATATCAGTAGTTCAGCCGGTTTCAAATTCTGACGAATACTACAGCATATGAATTTTTATACTTTTCCGTGTTTGAAAACGTGAATATCATCTAACTTCCCTTAAAATGTCCCTCACAAAGGCATCGCTCTCTTTAGGCAGGAAACCTTTGCTTTTCTTGCCGAAATATTAAATACCTTCTTGATTACCGTTTTGAATCTATTGATTAGTAAAAACCGATCTCTGCAGGTTTTAAAGGAATTTCATGAAAATAAAACATGGATTAATTTGAAAAGACTACAATAATATTGACCACTTAATTGAAATCTGTTTGCGTTTTATTGAATTATTCTCAATATTTTTTTTTTTTTTTATCTCTGTGGTATATTTCTCTATTTAGTGTTTGTTGGTCCGAGGTTCGAATCCCGCGAACGGGCTGGCTGCATGGGTGTTTTCGTGGTTTTACCCATGTGTAACGTGTATACGAGCCAGTTGCCCTTAGAAAGTCCTCCACGAAGGCATCCCTCCCCTTAGGCAGATAGCCCTAGTGTGCTTTGCCATAATTGAATACACCACTACCACCACCATCGTTTAGTGTTTCTTTCCATCTATCCCCTACTGTAGAGGGTTTTGAGTACCTGAAATATATTGCCTGTCATTATATTGTATTCATATTTACACTCATGTCCATAAATTAAGGATAATTCAGAGTCACGCGGAAATCGAGCTCTAAAATATATCACCTGTAAAATCACTACACATCTTCAACGATCATATGCAATCACACATCTTCAACGATCATATGCAATGGCGTCTGGAATTGGGCGTACCCAACTCGAAGTATCAGACGAACTTGGAATTGCTCAGAGTATCATCTCCAGGCAACGATTCCAAGGTGATGGTAATGTGAGTAGACGTTACAGAACAGGTCGCCCCAGAGTTACAACGCCGAATGAGGACCGGTATTTGGCAGTTACTGCCAAAAGAAACAGGTGGAGCACAACCTCAGACCTGTCTCGTCAGCTCTCTTCAGCCACTGGTACGACAATTTCAAGGCAGACCGTGTACAGACGCCTAGGGCAGCATATTGGTCTATATGCTCGTAGACCTGTCAGATGCGTTCCACTTACTGCAACTCACTGTCGCCTGGTTTAGCCTGGAGTAGAAGAAAGCATGCATTGTGGACACCGCAACAGTGGGCTTGTGTGATGTTTTCTGATTAGTCCAGGTTTAGCTTGCAGTCTGATTCTCGCCGGACTTTCATATGGAGAGCTTCAGGTACCCGTTACCACCAAGAAAGCATCACTAAACGACACCGTTAAGGTGGTGCAAGGGTGCTCGTTTGGGATGGAATTATTCTGGGTTCCAGAACTGACCTGCATGTTCAAATTGGAACCATGACTAGCCAAATCTATCGATACGTCATTCTGGAACAAACAAACTGGAACAAACAAACCCGAAACAAACTGGAACGTTTGTTTCGGGGCGCCACGGGCGCACAATTTGTGTTTATGGATGACAACGCCCGTCCTCACCGTGCAAACATCGTAAGCGAATGCCTTCAATCGGAGGATATCACCCGTATGGACTGGCCAGCATTCTCACCGGACTTGAATCCTGTAGAGCACGTGTGGGACATGCTTGGCCGATGAGTTACAGCCCGTCAACTTCCTGCTACATGTCTACCGGAACTTCGGAGAGCATTGCTTTTTGAGTGGTGTCATATCCCCCAAGATCAGATCAATAATTTGATACTCAGCATGCCTAGGCGTTGTACGGACTGTATTGCATCGTCTGGGAGACATATAATGTATTAACAATCATACCAACCATGCAATATTGGTTTTTTGTAAATAGTTTTTTTTTTTTTTTTTTTTTTTGTAATTTGCTCCAGGGAGAAAAAAAATCGCTATTTTTTATAATAATATCAAACATATAGCATCTTTTTTTTGCTCTTTAACCTTTTGTTTTAATAAAAGCTTACAAATAAGTCAAATTTGTTTTGCTTCTAACTCTTCCTTGTCTGTTTTGCATTATCCTTAATTTATGGACATGAGTGTATATTCTCCATGCTGTTGAAAGCAGAATATTGCACTACAAGTTAAAGTTTCTTGTCATTAACTTTAAAAAATTGAAAAAGAAAGGGAAGACAGATAATATTAAAATTAAACTATATATTTTAGCAAACTGTTTGGGATCTAATTAATTATGTATTTATATAACTGAAGTTCACATTTAAAAATAAATAATGAAATCTTAGTTTTCGTATCTGGCATTAATTCAAAACAATACCTACTACTGAATTATCAAAAATTTGGTACACTGATGGGAAGCCCATTTTTTGATTGAATTCTAAGTTCTAAAAATATATAATTATGATTAATTAAAATCCATATACATTACTCACCGATGGCTAAGTGAAGTTAAATAGTGGTAGATTTATCCAAATTGGATTTTCGTCAGAGTTTTCAGATTTTCCTCATCAGCAAGGTGAATTTGAACAGTTCCTATCCTATTCCATATGTTAAACTGCTAAACATAAATATCAAAATATATTGTATATACATATGTGACAATTTAGAAGCTGATGGCTTGAAACATAAAGTAGCATTTATGGCTGAATGAATATAAGAGTAAATAAATATTACGCTTTGATTTTGCAATAATAATCTTGACAGAGATTAAGATTTTGATATAATTTATGCAAGAAATATTTTTGATTCTAACTGTTATCGCTTTTATTATTATTTGAATCGTAAATCTAATAAGCTGGATAAAGAAAAAAATAAGTAATAATAAAAAAATATGTATTTAATTTAAACAAACAAAAAAATTCACATGATTGATTTAAAATTAAAGGGGAGAGATAGAAAATTAAAGGGGGAGATAGAAAAGTTGACATAATCGATTTACATTTTGAAGAATAAATTAAAGATGAATTTTTAATTATAGATTTTGAAAAATTTCAACAAAGTAAAATGGTGAACTTTGTTATTATCTTCTATACACCAATGATATTCAAACTTTATGGCAGTGTGACCTTATAAAAATGTAAACAACCCCAAAAAACTGTTTTGCAACTCCAATCCGAGCATGACCCTTAGTTACACACCACCAGTTCAAATGGTTTATGATTTTTATTCACCTTTGTGATCCCATTATAAATTTTTAGTTTGACCCATAGTTTAATACCAATGTTCTATATAGTATTTTTTTTGAAAATTAGTTCATTTACACAGTCCTAAATTTTTAAATGATATGCAATAAGCAATGAAAATTAATGCATGGGAAATATTTTGTTTAGAATTAACATTTGCTTAATAAAGAAATTTTAGTACATAGGCATGTTGCCAATTAGTGAAACACATAAAATTTAAATATCTTTTCTGAATCTGTTCTCAATAAAATTAATGGTAATTAAAATTGAAATCTTACCAGATTTAATTAAAATAGATTTATCTTTCAAGAAACTGAAATATT